GCTCTGATCTTCCTTGGTACCATTCTTTCAAAACATTTCATCACAATAGGGGTAAGTGCTGAAGGTCTGTTTTCATTAAGACCGTCCACCACCGGCTTCTTTGGAATTATGGCAGGCTGACTTGAGGCCAGGTACACGCCTGGACTAACTTCTCAGTTACACCGTTGGGGCCACCTGCATTCCACTGTTCTGAGCACCTGTCTCACCTTGTGTTCCTGCATAGAATGTGTCTGAGAGTCTGTATCAGATGGTGTTGTTGTCTTTGAGATTGGTGTTTTCATCTTACACTATAGGTGAAGAAGCAATTAAGCTCCACCGCCAGCAAGGTGTCATGATGGAACTTGTGATGTTATTGCCCTTGCAATTTGTAACATCCTGTACTCCCTGTCATATCTGCCTTGCATCGCGTTCCCCCGAACTGTGCCTCGATCTTCTCTTCAAGGCCTGTTCTGTTTAAGTATTTGCTTGAGTTGATCCTGAATCATGACATCGCCTTTTACTCTGTAACAAAATTTCAAAACTGGTAGGAGCTGCAGGACTACTCCAAGCCTAAAATTAATCTCCACATATAAAAATGTGAGCTTCCTTTAGTCTAAATGAATTCCATCTCTAAATTTCTACAAGTAAGAGTAAAGAATATTACAAGTAATAGTCAGCATTTTGTCAAACTTCTTGTTGTAACACAGACCTCTCTATGCTTTGCACTATGGTTGTTTCTACAGAGATGAGATGAGATGACATCAACAGACATCAACAAAAGTGTTCCATTTCATATGGAAAAAGTGAACAGGTTTGATCATTTTCCAATATCTAAAGGACAACTGTTCCTTCATAATGTGTTTTGCAGATTATTCTGTACAACCAGGCCACAACATATCCAGGATCTGTAAAAGCTGTGGAAAGTAGTAATCCATCATTGTGGGAAACAATGCCAGGTCTACTGAAGGAAAATATCTTTGAGGAATTCTTAGATTGAGTATTGAACACAGTAAATGTTTGCTGTTAACAAGAAGAAGTTGGTTATGCAAATGTGTCAGGTTTTAATTAACATTGTAAGAGAAGAGTTCATACCGCTTTGTTTTTAGGGGACTGCTGTCGTGGGGTCTGAAGCTGGGAGGGAGGTGTCTGAGTAGGAAGAGGTGGTGGAAAAGCTGACTCTTCAGAGAGGGATGTGCCCAAAGATGAAGGCTCAGCAGCTGAACGAGGAAGAGGGATGAGATCTGTATGGCAGGATGGTTTCACTTTTAGTTTCTATATACATCTTTTTTTTTTTTTTTTACAAACAATTCATACATTGAATAAGATAAGAAATTAAAGTTTGTGCTGTTGTGTTTTTAAGCACAACTTTTGCTCCTCATATATGAGACACTAAAGTGACAGCGTTTCTGCCTGTCCCTGCAGAGAATCCTTTAGGTTTCCAGCCTGATACATTACTTTCTAAATCCAGCTAGGGTTAGGAGAGAGAGAGAGATTTTCTGAATTTCAGCAAGTTAGCATTGCACCTCTGTAACACTCCATCTCCCAATGGATAACTTTATATATATATATATAAACATTTGCAGTATTCAGATACATGATATATTTTACTCCAATCCTTTCTAAAACTAACTTTATTACCCAAAAATAAACAATTGTCTAATTTGCTAACATGGTTCATGTAACCTCCATTGGCTATCTTCAAATAAGAAGACAGCTGCAGAGGTCTGGTTTGCCTTTTTCATTTACTACACATTCCCAGACTTTTCTTTCATTTTCAAATGCTAGTGTTCAGCAGCAACCAACACTGACTCAAACAATATAATTCTTCACATATCTCACACCTCCAACTGCAGTCACAAATGTCAACCTTACAGTAAAACACCAATAGAATCTTCCATGTCTGTAATTGATCAAGACCCTCTGTAAATGAAATAAGATATGACTGTAAATGTCAGGAAAGCAAATTTCATTTGTTTCCAGGGAATAACTTCCCCACCTTAACAAGTGAATCAAAAGCAGCCTTCTAAAACAAAGTCCCAGATATCTGGTAATGGCATGTTTGATCAACTTCTGAAATAAATATCAGGAAATCTAAATATCTATCGGCCTTGAATCTAACATAAACTGATTTTATCATGAATACCTGAAGCAGATTTGTCATCTTGTTGCAGCTTCCTTCTGTTTGGTCCATGTTGGGCAGGTGATGGGCTCTGAGGGTCTGTGACTCTGGTCGGGGCCTCGGTATGAGTCTGGCCTCTGCTGTCTACTCTGCTGTGAGTCTCAGACTGTGAGTCTTTCTTATGTCTGACTTTGGGGATGCTGTCACTCGGGCTGACTCGTATAGCCGTGTGCTGCTTCTCTCTGGCAGGTGCACTGTGAGCCTGGAGGGCGGGCTTCTGTTGTGTCAGAGTGGCTCGATGAGGAGAAGCTAGAGTGATGAAGACAGAGGACACCATCCTTTTTGGTGGAGCTGCTGATGCCATGACTGTATTACACCACCTACAACCTGACAGGAGGACAGAACGATTAAAACGACACAGGACTGCTACCCAGACTAAATATTTTTTGTCCTGTTTCAAAGGAAAAAGATGAAAAAGAGAAACATCATTTACACCAGACTTACTTTTGGATCTTTTTCAGTGATAAGAAGTAAACAACATTTCATTCCTTTGATATCATTAATATTTTATCTAAGAGCATACGTCCTTTAAAGTCAACTTAGTAGAAGTTTACTCTCTCTATAGAAAGGTACATTCAAACACTAACAGCTTTCATTGCCCATAATGATAAGTTTCAGAAGTACAATCACATCACATTTCTGAATAATGTGTTTCCTTTAAACTCGCTCCCTCTGTCTGTGAGCTGCCATTACATACCTGTGAGAAACTTTTCTTCTCTCTCCTTCCCTGTTCTGTATCTCCAAAACGTCTGGTTTGTTTCCCTCCTGTGAGCTGCCACACAGAGAAGTTTTACTCCGGCAGAGAGGGAGACTATCAGCAGAAAGCCACTCCTTATCCCTCTGTACCTCCCTCCCTCTCTCCCCAGCTCGCTCGTCCGTCGACCCCTCCTCCTTCTCTGGCTGAATGACAATACAACCTCCCTCCCAACCGTAAAAGGTGAACATTTAATCTTGAGCAAAGAGGAGTTAAAACATGACACATTCATTTACTATGTAAACCTGGCAGGCAAACACACACACCCATGTAGGCATGTGTACAGATACATGTACTAAAGATACTTTGAAATTGCATTCCAACCGAAAAGCATGCGGTTGGACTTTGTTCAAATGTTATTGACCGTATCAGTAAGTCTCATAAGGTTTTTTGACCACAAGCAGGGGCAAAAAACATGTTTTTACATGTCAGCAGGATGTGACAGTGCCTGCCTTTTCCTGTAACTCTTTATCTCTTCTCTGTCCTGTGCAGCTCTCTTTTATTGTTCTGTCAGCTTTATTTTCTCTTCATCCCTCATTTACTCTGCCTCCTTTTCTCTTTTCCCTCGTGCCTTCTTCCCTTCCCCCCTACACTTTATCACTTTGGCCTTGACTCATTATCAGTGCCACATGGCATTTCTTCCAGTTGTGCCACACAGAGTCTGATAATATATGATGGACTTCAAACTGAATCTAATAAAGTAACAGCAAAGAAAGCAGCTGTGTTACAGTGCAAAGAATCCGGGCATTGTGCAAGAGGAGATATTGGGTAATTGGAAGAGGAGGAGGGGGGATAAGTGATGCCTGAGCTATGAAAAAGCTGCTTTGTTGTGTTTGCTGCTCTAAGCACTATCAGGTCTGCCGATCAGCAAATGTTTTGGTTGGTTTCTGCAGCCAAAACTTATGAGGTCTACTCCCCTCCAAAGAGCCAAAAAGAGAGAATGGAAACAACAATAAGAAAAGAATAAAAACTTTCCTGATCAGTGTGGAGTACTGTGGAAAAGTGAGTCAGGAATGTGTGAGAGAGGGGGAACAGGAGACAGAGATGAGGAGAGAGATTGGGGTCTCTGTTGTTCCAGCTCTGAGGAAAGGAATGCTGCAGTGATGTCACAGCTGCAAGAGGGAGCATGCCTAATGATGACACAATCCCCAGACCTCCAAGCTCCACCCCCTTACAAAAAACAGCCAAACTCCTCATTAAACTCCCTGAACCTCTTTCCCCCTTTCTCCTTTTACAGCATGACTTTGTGTTTTACTAAACCAACATCAAACAGGAAGTTTGACCCAAATCAAAAGATAAGCTATCCTATTGGGTATAAGCAGGGCAGCAAAAGAAGGAGAATGGAGGGAAATAACGGAAAAGGAACAGGAAGAAACAACAAGAGAAACAATGAAGAATCACAATAGGACACATATGAAGAAAAGCAGGAAGATAGGAGAAACAAAAGTAAATGACATGCTCAAAAGTAAAGCATTAACTAATTCAAGGTTTTTAAAAAAAAAATAGAAAGATTGGGTAAATATTGTAAATTTAGCCAAATATTGCTTTGATGGGAAAAGCCATACTCAAAATGAGTAAAGTAACACTGGTTGGGGAAATTGTGAGCAACAGACCAAAAACAGAATGAAAAAAAAGTGAATGAACAGTGGCTCTTTAGAGAGGCTCACGCTCCTGAAACCCTGATCTTATGTTCCCATAATGCACAGGATGCATAACATTATTAGACCCTCATGCCTTTCTAAAGCCAACTCTAGAGTTACAAAGTTATAACATAATTCAAAAGTATATATGATACTTTATACAACTGTTTTCACAGGCTCAGCAGTGCTGTGAATAGTGAGTAAACTGATCCTTGTGTACATTTGGTGGAGTGTCCTATAATTGTTGACATATGGTGACCCACAGGAGGCCATCAGTGTAAATGTGGTATCCAACATCTACACACCCTCCTGATCTGAGCCCGCTAACTTACATTCATTATTTATAAATCATCTTACGATCTTAAAAAGGAAAACAACCGCTGCTACAGAATAACCTCCTTCTGTTTTACATAAAAGGCAACAACAATAAGAACTGATAACAAAGAGGAATATTCCAGCAATTTATTTCACCAGGAGAACAACACCATGGACACAACAACACACAATTTTGATGTATCAATGTCCAGTATAACTCTTCTTCTTCTTCACACTTCTTGAGATTGAGGTAGATTTCAGGTACACCATCATCTTTCATCCGATGATGATTTCCTTGTGCTTTCTCTTGTTTTGTGACTGGAGCTAGGTTTGTATTTGCTCACTTGTGTGTCTTCTTCTTCCTAAAAATGAACCACAGTCAATCGTCACTTTTTTTTAAACATTTCTTCACATGATTTTAAAGCACTGGTTATCTGATGAAAACACAAACAGAAATAATAAATGAGTTTATGAATCAAATGTGAAGAAAGGATTAAAACAGACCTTCAACACAGCTTGCAGCAGGTCCTGTGAGGGCAGCAAACAGGCAGCTTCACCCAGGAAAGTGATGGGGATCTGAAGGACATCGGTCCAGTCTCCCACAGTCAGCATAAGCACCAGTAAGGCTCCCAGCCGCATCACTACAGTGCGCAGCACGGACTCTGAACCAGCGTTACGATTCTGATCCTCTATGCAACAGTACAAAAAAATGACAAGGTAAAAAAAGTAACTGTTGAATGACATGATACCTGCTTTTTTCCTGAGACGCGGGAATTGTTTTGGATTGATCATTTCAAACCTACTTTAATTAATGTGTTGTTAGTGTATTATAATTATAAAAGGGGGCCTTGTTTCATTTTCTATTTCATTGTTCCTCTGTTACGGTAGGGGTAGGAAAACTTTAAGATTTGTTTTAATCAGTGGTGAGGTGATCCTGAGCTACACTAAAGTCCTATTAAAATATGTGTTAATTAATTTGACTTGAATGGCTCGCATCCCTTTTGCCATTTTTCCCTTTGTAGGTGTAAACAAACCAACTTTCATTCTGTGCTTTAATACATTTATCTGATCTAATCTAAAACTGTTTCTTTCTACAAAAAGGTTTTTAAAATGCAGCACTTCAACCCTCACCTTGAATATAGACCAACAACATGGTGTAGCAGAGTGTCAGTGGAGTCCAGAACTTCAGAGCATCCTTCTGGGACAGGAAGTGGTCGTAAACCGTAGCGGTGGAGGCCACAGTGGCCAGAGCGAAGAACAAAATGACCACTCTTTGCAGTGTAGTAAGGATGGTGTGTCCAGAGGTCAGCAGGCTGATGCATTTCCAACAGTACCGCTCTGTGCTGTGTAGAGGGAACAGTCTGGCCACATGAAGCCACAGACTGTGGCTGACACCTGCCAGTGCCCAACTGAGAGCAGCTGCCAGGAACAAGCTGAGAGAGCTGTGTGGGGCCCCCTGATGGAGAAAGGCCATAGTGCAGGAGAGGCCACAGCCCAGGGAGAACTGACTCTGGATCAGGAGCATGTCCAGGTCTCTGACATTAGCATCCTGAGTTCAGATGGATTCAGAAGGGTGGGTGAGATGATTTGATAGAAATTAAGAATAATAGGAAATGTGGATGTAAAACAATCCTCAATCAGTGTGTTTTTAGCTTTTACTGTATTTGAAGAGCTCACCCGTCCTGCTGATGCCCAAGCTGAGACAGTTCTGAGAGAAAACTCCAGAACCATCAGGGAGGAGACCCTTGAGCCCACCAGGGGCAGGAGGACTGTCAGAGACCAGAACTGGAGAGCTGATCTCCAGTCCCAGCTCAGATTATTACCAGGTGAGGGTGAGCTTTGTGTGCTCTCAGTTTCAGAATCACTGTTAGATAAGAAATGGAGATAACAAATACTGCTGCAATGGGAATCTCTATATTTCTTCTTAACTTATGATGCATGATACTCACCTGCATGTTTGAACAAAGTAGTAAACTCTCATCAAATTGCAGACCATTGATATTGCACACGCACCAACAAGTCCTTTGTTAAAAGTACAAACACAAGTGAATGAGTATAAAAAGTCAGTAAAGAAACTTGACACAGAAGTACAGACAATATTAAACTCACCTTGAAAAAGGCTATCCATTGGGTTTGAATAAAAAGGTGTCCATTCAGACGTTCCCAGGATCCAAGGTAATAGGAGAAACATTTTTATGTTGTTCTTTTTTCAAGAAGGGAACACAAAAAAAGGCAACTAACACTTGCTCATACCACTAATGGTCCAAGAACATGATTAAAAACTACAAGTGCTGAATCCCTGCGAGCCAAACCTCTTCTTTGACTTTATTTCTCCTGATCAGGTCTGAGTGTCCTTCATGTTTAAGTTTCAAAGGTCAGAGGTGATTTGAGTGAGTTTGCCTGCTCAATCATTTCCTGATGAAAGCGATTGAAAGTACACTCAGACAGATGATTACACTGAGGGGAGCAATCAGAACGTATCACGAGTCCCACTTTGCTAACAGTGGTTCTTAGATATCAGGTATTTCAAAGATGCAGCAAATGGGGCGCAGATGGCCAAGTGGTTGGGTTTCGCCCCATGTGCCGGGGCTGTAGTCCTTCAAGTGGGCAGTCCAACCTGCGCCTTCTCTCCCGATTTTCCTACTTTATCCAATGATATATCTTAATAAAAGCAAAAAGCCCTTCAAAAGATCTTCAAAAAAAGATGCAGCACTTCAATCTAATACAATTCAAAAACACATTTATTTACAGGTCATACAAAAATGTCTTTCATATTCTCATTTAGTGCTGTTCAAAGGCTCGATCTGTTCAAGTGCTGTACATAAAAACATCACATTAAATCGTGTTCTGTGCTTAAGGTACCAGTAGTTTATGTGTTAGTTATTAAAGGCATTTTTATCAGAAGTCTTAGTTTTACACCTAGCAGATAAGGCAAGTAGAATAATGCATTTAACTTAAAATGATCAAATATCAGCAGACAAACAGACCCAGCATGATATACAGAGATGATTCTTTCAGGTTATCTGCAGTCCATTGATAAGCAAGCCAGTCTCTCATATCAGCTCTACTGTGAGGAGACCTTCTGAGACGTGGCTTGTATGTTTGAGGTACTAAGGCAATATCAGATAGCTTATTAACAACTTCAAATGTTTGAGTACTCCATAGGAACCCCTGAAAATGTTTGTAGTCTCTGCAGCAAGTGTTGATCTTCCTCAAGCACTTCAACGCTCATCAGTCTGGCCCTCTTCAGACAGAAATAAGCTGATCCACTTGATTGGCAGAGAAGACAGTAAATACCACCCTTGTTTTTGTAAAGTAAATATGAAGCTAGAGCCAGCAGCTGCCAGCCTAACATAAAGACTGCAAACATCAAAAAGTACCTAGCCTGATTCTGTTGTATCAAATTCCACTTCAAGGACTTCCCAGTGTTGCGTGCCATATCTTGTTTAATCTGTACAAAATAGGTCACAATGACAATTTGCCATTTCCTATTGAGTAGACTGCCACAATAAGCAACCAGCTGAGACTCCAGGATGTTAGCATTATAGCCAAAAAACAGTCTCGGTCATTTAAAAAAAAAAACATGAATGAACCTTTTTAACACATAAGATTTAACCTTTTGGAGGTCAAGATAACAACTTCCTTGTTTCCAGTCCTATTGCTAAGCTTACAACTCTATTAGGTCTAAGCAAATATGAGCATTAACCCAAATGCAACTTTTGCTTTCAATTCAGTGTTTCATTAATTGATGGACCACTTCAATATCTCTGAGTCCAGTCCAGCCAGTCATACACCAGTGGTTTAGGGTAGTTCAGCTCCTTCACTGGCTCTGGTTGTCCTTCACTGTCTGTTGTCTCATCATGTCCCAGAACAGCATGCTAAGGACGGTGTGTGGGGCCAAGCGCAGGAAGACCGGGCCCATGCCTTTATATAACCCCAGCAGGCCCTCAGCTTGGCACACCTTCAGCATACAGTCGGAAAATCCATGATACAGACGCCCCTGAAAAGTAAGCAGAAAAACATGAAGCTAAAATACCTCATCCTGCAAGAGTCTTTTGTGGCATTACTCAGTGCAAGAGCACATTTTAGAGGATATTTAGACTCACCCTATGAGACTCATCTACTGGCTGGTTGTAAAGACGTGTACTTATAACATCAAATGGTGTCATTGTGATTGCCACTGCAACCCCACTAACCATGGCAGCTAACAACGCTGTGAGCCAGCTGTTCGGACTAAACCACTGATAGGATAGACAGAAACAGATCATGAACTGAGGCTCGACCACATTGCTTAAATTGTTTTCATACATGTGCTGTAAAAGAAATGTCAGCTGTTTAGCACGTCTACCTGGGAATGTGCCACCCAGTTCTTTGCCGAGGTGAAGGTTGCCAGTTGAGCAGCTGATCCCACCATGACTCGAGGCACGGCCCCGTTCACACCCCTCCAAAGGCCAATCACTCCTTCTCTTCTATAGATGGTAGCAAAGGCATGAGACGCCCCCTGAAAAAGAAGAAGACAATGGCATTGGTGTCGGACATATTAGATCAGTGGTTCTCAAACGTTTTAGACTGCGTACCACCCCCGAAAATACCATTATGGTAGACGTTGAAATACACTGTAGGCCTATTTCAACACACATTTCAGGCAAGAGGCAAATTAATTCATAAAAAGAATATTATTTATTATTGACTGCTGGCAGCCACACTGTAGGCCTACTAAGGGCTAGCGCTAGAACTTGCACACACAAAAGTGCAGAACAATAAAAATGACAACTTTATACCAACAACCTGTTTGGAAATATTTAGTCTCCAGTGTTTCCCACACAAACAAGATACCTGGGCCCACGTATATTTCCGACCTGTTCTCATTTCATTTTCCATTTATTCATAAAATTGCTGCGTGCCTGAGAGAGTGCAGGGGAGCCCTCCGCAGGCTTGGTGCAAACAGCGGCGCTTTATTATAAGTCTCTGCGTTCAACATAGCAAAACTGCCTTTTTAAAAAAAAAATCCCTCTCGACTCCTACAGAGTGTTAAAACAGCAGAATCACATCAGCTTCAGAGCTACAGAGAGAGAGATAGAGGGAGCGGGAGCGATAAGGTCCACTGTCCGTACATGCATCAAAACTGAAGCTTCTCCTGGCTCCGTTTTAAAAATGTTAATGTACAGCTGCTTGCTGCCGATTGTGTGCGGAACTCCAACAAATAACAGAATATCTGTTAATGTAGGCCTACATTAACAGATATTCTGTTAATTAACAGATATTATGTTAACGTAGGCCTACATTAACAGAATATCTGTTAACGTAGGCCTACATTAACAGATATTCTGTTAATTAACAGATATTATGTTAACGTAGGCCTACATTAACAGATATTATGTTAACGTAGGCCTACATTAACAGATATTCTGTTAATTAACAGATATTATGTTAACGTAGGCCTACATTAACAGATATTCTGTTAATGCAGGCCTACAGCTGCTTGCTGTTGATTCAGTACTGAACTATAACGGAATATCGAGTGGAACTTTTCAAAACATGAGGCGTACTCCTGTTGTTGTTTATGTCTGTGAGATTTCTTTGCGTACCACCACAGGGAGCCCATGTACCACCGGTGGTACTCGTACCATAGTTTGAGAACCACTGTATTAGATAATAGTACCTAGTGACACTGTGGACGTTTATCATGTAGAAGTAGACATTAACAGTGATGTGTTTCCTCTTTTAAAGAATTAATTTATAGGTAAAAGCCTGATTCATGCATACAACTTTGAGTGAAACCATAACAAAGTGGCCTGTTTATAGACATTTAGGTGGTGTGTATCAATGTGTATTGACTTGTATATACTCAGTAATTCTCCATTTTTTTTTTATTGTAAATCTCTACAATTTGAGAAGTAATATAACTAAATCAATTTAATATTTAAACACAGTTTCCATCAGTAGTGAATTCTCACCAGGTACATTTATTTGAGTTTACTATGTTAAAGTTGTACTGCTCAGTATTTTAATTATTTCCACTTTTTCATTGCATTTGAGAGAAAGTCATTTATTGATTTGTACTTTTACATTATTGTTTCTGTTTGCAAATTAAAGACACTGCACAAACAGGTGTTTTTCATACCTGTGACCTGTTGTCAGATGAAGGTTGGGTGAAGCTATGCTGTGAATGACGTGACTGTGTACGTTAATTATAAGAACAATAGGATGTTCTGCTTTACAGGTTTAAGAAAAGGCAAAGAAAGGTGAGGCAGCTTTCAATCAAGCACAGTAAATACACACACTTAAAGTCCTGAGTGTAGCCGCCCCAGCTTAAGCAATGACTTTCTATACCTTTAGGGTCATTTACACTGAGCTGACATTTGGTTTAGAGGTCAGCATGTGTGATAATACCAATGTGGATGGACTACAGGAGAAGATTTTCAATATAAAGTATATGATAGCTATCGATAATATGATGTCACATCATCAATATTAAACTGCCAGAGAGTGTAATAAGTAGGTAGGGCTCGCATCCTTACCATTACCATTCTGCTTATACTTAATGTATCAATAATATTAACAAACATAACACTTTGTAGGGTTCACCTTTTAGAAACAGGTCTTTAAATTTGAATCCTTAATGTAAATTTCTCTGCCAGTACTTACATTTTGAATGAACACATATCCTTTCTATTGAATGTTTACACTGTGGTATTCTTTCAGTGAATCATCTGAATACATACATGAAATAAAACAGATTAATGTATTCATGTGTCTTATTTGAATCATCTTACCAGATGGTTATGCTGGTGGCCTACAGCTATGGCTTCCACACTCTGAGCCTGCAGATGGGTCTTCACCTATGAACAAAACATGGAACACAAATGTATCTTACACCAAAAAAAATCAGGATTGACACTCGTATATGGGTCACAAATCACATAAGTCACATGACACATACTCTGTCGGGAACTTCTTTGACTAATTTCCTATGTGATTCATTTGAACTGGGTAAGGCCCAGTTGCTGTAACAGTTGCATAATACATCGCATACACACAATCCAGATGCCTCTCTTGAGGCGTCAATAAATAAACCTTTTCCAACCTTCACTCTCTGCCAGAGGCACAAAGCGAGGAGCCACAGGACACACAGTATATATTTCAGGCAGCAGAGTGGAGGTGTGAGCAACGTGCAGGGTACATTTAGTGACCTACTGTAGATCTACACAAGTATGTCGAACAATATTGTCTTTCCATGAGAGGCAAGAGATCAGATGATTTGACACATATTGACTGACAGCTAAAAGGAATAAACAACATGACTCCTCCTGTGGTGCATTAGAGAGGACACTCAGAGGTCAGTCATATACAGTGTAGTAAAATAAGAGACAGTGAAATATGACTGGTGTTAATATCAAAACACATAATAAACTTTATGACATGCACATTCATCTTTTGAAAACAATGTATCACTAATCCATCTGGACAGGATAGGGTTAATCAGTGTATGATCATATTGTTTATCATGTACTCTTTTATATAAGATGTAATTAATTAGGCGTGAACTCACATAAACCTGTTTCTGCTGTACACACCCATGTAATGTAACTTTGACTCACACGCCTTCCTGCTCGATAAAAACAGACGGAGGAAACTTTAGCCTCCTTTGAAACTGAGCTGCTGTGTTTTCATGTCACTGTTTGTGTTCAGGCCAAGTGCTGATGGCTTTAAATGTCCAGTTTTCATGTAGGCTTCTCAATGTGCTTTCTTCATTTTCTCCACACCATTAAAATCGCGACAGACTTCAGAATGGAGTCAGTTCTTTCAAATCCTCATTGTTATTAGATCATAGATTTCAAGTCTATCTTTCAGAAATACCGCACATGATTTCATGTGTCCCTGTGTTTATGCTGCCTTTGAATTTGTTTTCTGTACTGGAGCTTAATTAAATAAAGTAAGCATGATCCATTTTCATCGTGTTTTAGCGCAAAAATTCCTCTTTGTGTTTCTACAGTGGTACAGTAGGGAATTAACACAAAATGATGGGATGTTTTTAATTTAAAAAAAGACCACAAGTGCAGGAAACCATATCCTGATTAAATAAACTCAGTTAATGTGAGCTTTGGTTGAGCTTAAAAATGAATTCTAAATAGAATGTGATCTTTAGATTCTACACCCCATCCTTTAATTGGAAATGTCAGGACTGGATCCCTTCATGACCTGCATAGAGAGTAGCAGATCTGTTTTAAAGAGCTGACACACAGTTTGAGAATGTCCGCCCCACAAGGTAAACAATTGTCCGATTTCTGATCCTGGATATGTCAGCAGACCTAAAGAAGCAAACAACACCCTGCTGGAACCTTTTGAATAATGTATGTGATTGTTTGCCGGTGTCATTTTTCTACATTTGTTTTCTTGTCTTTTAGCTCTTGTCAATCGCCACTAATTCACTTATTTGGTTTCCTTAACACGTCTGTGTCCTGTTGAGTGTAACTTCATCTGAACGGTCTAAATGGTACATGTGGATTCAAATGTCCTGTAACTGTATGACCTTTAGGGCTCACACACACACACACACAAATACAAAGAGTGACACAATGGCTGACATCTCTTTCTACATTTCAGAGACATATTACTACTTAAGCATTAACTTGATGCATTCTGTAGTTATGACAATACAAATTGTAGTTTGAACTGCAGTTTCTTTGAACAAACTAAATCTTTGTTAAACACAGCAGGCTTGTGGCCACATGTAGGATTAACCTACATATGGCCTGTAACACCTACTGATCTCTAGTCTCTTTAAAACCTATTGAGGTGAGCTATAACAAAACAATGTTTACAGCCTGGAAACCCTACAAGTTACAATACAAATTATTATTTTATTAAACTTCACCTTTTTCCTTGTTAATGACTGTATATTTTTGCATCTAAAAAACTTTTCAATTCATCAGTCTGAGCTGATAAAAACCATGCTGCAGATGATCTACTCCAAACTCCCATGCATGCGTTATGTGATGAGAGTGTGCAATTAGAAAATACTTTATAATACGGGGTCACAAGCAACAACAACAAAAAAAATCTCAGCCATTTGAGGATGACATCTACTTAAATCAAGAACAGAGATGTGTAGAACAGAAACTTGAGGAAACTGAACTTACCAGGTAGGCAGGAGAGGCGATGAATGCACCCAGAGCCCCAGCTGCTGCCCCTGACAGTAGACTCCCCCCGTGGAACGAGGTGAGTCCCAGAGCTTCACAGTAGGAATAGGAGCCCAGCCTCACTCCGTTCATCACACCCTGGTACATCAGCCCCACTGAGAGTCCCTTCTGCAGGCCTCGCAGGCCATCTGTGCGGCCCACCACCCAAAGGGCCTGCAGGACTCCTCTGTAGTGTCTCTGGTAGGACCCCCGAGAAAGCAGCTCTCCCTGAAGCTGCAAGCGGGTCTTCACAACCTCCAGAGGGTTGGTGAACACACAGGCAGCGCAGCAGGCGACAGCACCTAGGGCGAAGTCCAGAGGAGGCCAGACAGCCGTAGGGGGCGGCGAGGGGCCGAAGACACCACGGGGGACAGCAGACACAGTGGACGCCATCCTGTGGGAAGGTTGGGCTCCAAAAACAGACTCTTCTGGTGAAGTCTTCAGCAGCGAGCACTGGTCATCCCTGAGAGGTGTTCTACACAGTGTTTTCTCTAAGTCCTTGTGATGAATCTTCTGGGTTTGTTAGGAAACAGGGATAGTGTGTTGTACTGAAGTCAGAAACAAACAAGCTTAGGTGATGATAACTAATTTAATATCTGTTTCTCAGGAGCTATTGCAGCCCAGTTTGCCCTTTTGGTGTCTGTCAGAGGCCTTCGTTAGCTTCCTTTACTGCATGTCTGCTCAGGAAAGGCACCATCTACAAGAGAAGTATCATGACATGTTTCAATTTACTTTTATTTTAAGGTGCAGATGTACACATAGACTCTGATCTACTAACAGGACACTGAGGACAGAGAGTCAATCAGGAAAAAGACTGAAAGGACTCATGCCGGAATAGAAACCTTCAGGTTTGAGCTCCTCACATGATAAGAGTTTAAAAAAAAATGTAAAAAAAAAAACGTTCCCTGACTCTACACTCGCAAAAATGTTACAGTATGTGCAGCAGTACACCTGCAGACGCAAGAGGAAAAAAAACTCGCTGCATTTAAAACTAAATCAAACGTCATATGGTGCAAAAACATCTAACACACAGATCACCTGACATGAACAAGTCCCACTCAACTTCATTCAGATTCATTCAAACATATTTACAACTGAATAAACAAACACGGAACAAGTTCAGGAGACAAAAAAAAAAAACCCTCATGCAAAATTTCTCTCACTGGCCTTATAAAATACTTCTGTAATTTGGTTGCTTCATTCAAAACTCACAGTGTTGAGTGGTCCTCCTGAGCAGCTCCATTCTTCCTCTCTCCCATCACTGTAAACATGTGTCCTCAGCACATTCATTGTACAAGTCTCTTCCCCCTGTCTCATGGCACAGCCAATGGGTTTCATACCTGTCTGCCACATCACCACATCCCCTAATGAGCACCAATCGCAAGGTTCTGCTCAAAACGGCCCCTGCTCCTGTCCAATAGGAGCTCTCTGGGTAAAAGGTTATAGCTGGTCAAAGAGGGGGTGGAGTCTCTACAGGACAGGAGGGTTAAGGATCAAAACGGACTGAGTCAGGGAGTGAAACAGGGCCAATCCGTCCATCGTACTGTAGTAAGGATAATCTCAGAAGCAAAACAAACAAGCATAGCCCCTGTTTTATTTTTGCACCATGTCATATATGTTTTCCTCACAGGAACGATTGTTTTAAAGACTCTGTAGTATGTGGTGGATCCGTTTAAAATCAGGAAATGCAAAAAAGAAAAATCTGTTATTATATTCTGAAAATGATGCTTCTTAAAAGTGAGAGGATTTATGTGTCTCTGACGCAGTTTCTTATTTAGTACGCCGAGAATCCACACGAGGGCGCTCCTGCACAACTTCCTCTTATCTAACTCTCTCGGTGCATCTAGATGAAAAATTTGATTCTTTTTCTTGGAGACACCAAAGTCCATCCAACCACAGATTTTGTTCCTCAGCAAATGAAGATGATGTCAAGTTGTTGCCACTGAGCTGTCAATGAGTCTTAACAGAATTCTTATGGAAGGGGAAACTTTGTAAAATGATCAAACTTGTAATACATAAGGCACCAAATCCTTAAATGTAACCACTTTTTAACTATTTTATATTAATAACAATGAATTTGAGAAATTACCATTAACATGAAAAACTAATGTTGGTATTTAGACTATTGATTGATTTTTCCTCTTGGAATTTGTCAGGTCATGACAAGCTAAATACCTTTACAAGTTTAGTTACTAATAATGAATTCTTATTGGACTCATGTAGGATGGATAATGGATACGGGAAAGATAATTAATGACTTCCAAAAAGTAATTTATAGTATTAATGTATTGTCAGAATAATGAGAAAATTGAGTTCTGAATGGAAAAATGTAATCAGATACACTTAAATGTCACCAGGGGGAAATTTACCTTGGGCCAAAAACAGAGAAAACCCACCACTGTGCAGCCTGTATAATATTATGTAGGTTTTTATGTAGATTATTATTACTGAGCCAGCCTGACATTAAAGTTAGGAACATCATAAATATGCCAAGATAATTCTATGAATAGATCTGCTTAATCGCAGTTTTTGATCATTACAGGATCGTGGGCTCTCACTTCTCTGGGTTTGAAAATGAAGTTGTTGGTTTTGTTTGCCTTGTTGCAAAAAAATTGTATTCAATTAATCATTTTGAATATTTCCCAAGATGGATAATAGATGATGTGATCGCTCTATTTTAGATTAAACTATGCAATATGTTATTTTGACAAGAAAACAGTCAAATTAGTTGTCTTTGTTAAATCTTTAAGGGGGTTTGCACAGTGGTGCAGTAGTTAGCACTATTTCTTCAGAAAGGTTCCTGGTTTGAATCCTGAAACCTGTCAGACGGGGCCTTTCTGTGTGGAGTTTGCATGTTCTCCCCCTGCATGCTTGGGTTACCTCCGGGTACTCCAGCTCTCTCAGACAGACTACAGACATGGTCGTTAGGTTGATTTGTGAAAAAAGAAATGTGAAAAAAACATGAATTTGAATAACTTTATCTGGTGGAGAAGATCGAATGATATGATCAAAAGCCCCAGTTAGTGTGTGAAACAAACACACACATACATACAAGGATGACAGAGGGGACATGGAGGCCTTTATTGTTCAAACCATGTTTATAGTACAGTGCCACATCCCTCACCCACCATGGCCCCTGACCTACATAAGTCAACAACTTTTAACCACCACCGTGCACACATAACATACACTCACACACACGCTCACACTGTCGTCAATGTAAACATTGCAGGCTTAAAGAGTGATACAAAAAGCAAGGTAGTCTTCAACTGCTCCTGTTTCTAGGCCCTGTTCTTCATGGTTTCCTCTCTCAAAAGTTCAGAGGAGGGTGACACAAAAACAGAAATGTTCTTATTTGGTCGATCACCTTTTGCAGAACAATAAAGAATTGTCCTGTTCTTTTTAACCACTGCACTCACGAAAACACACACAAAAACACACACATACACAGTCAGGATTCTCATTCAATCAAACATTTTTATCAAAGTGTAGTTAAAGTGTTTTATTTTCGAAAGCTTGCAGTAGGCTGAAGAGAGAATAGTGAATTTCTGAAGTGGAACATCTAACAATGATTATGTTCTTTTCCCATAATCCTCTGTATAGGAAAAAGGCCTTGTGTGTCAAATCCCTTGTGTGGTCACAGGGTGGAGCATCAGTCTCCCCCATTCTGCCTGGAGCTGCATTACCTTTTGGCGCGTACAAAGTACAAGGCGTTGGTTTTAGGGTAATACTTCACATTCTGTTTTTTGTCCATGAGTCCCCCAAAAATGATGAGCTCTCCGCGGCCCTGTACCACAGTGTGAAGGCTGGTCTCTGGTGGCCCTGTGACTGCAGCAGGAGTCCCGTTTCCATAAACTCTCCAAGACACCACCCTTGCGGATTTGGCCCGGGACACATCCAGCACATACATCTGCATGGGTTTGCAGTTAAGGGACTGGTACAGAGGTTTCCCAACGTTTAGGCTCTGAGGCGGGTGATGGCCGAGACGCCTTGCAATAGGTGGGATAGCATGTCCATCAGCTCCTGCAGCCTGCGGAGGACTGGAGGATGATGAAGGAGGGGTTCCAGGAGGTCCTGCTCCTCCTCCTCCACCACCACTGCTGCTTCCTCCTCCAGGGGAAGCCCCCTGTGTCTGAAAGGAAGATGATGAAGATGAAGATGGTAATGATAATGATGATTTGTTTTTTACTGCCTCCAGACCTCGTCGTAAGGCAGCAGGGGATACCGCTCCTGGAGGAGTGCAAGGAGAGCCTGAAGGAGGAGTGTGCAGGCCGTTAGTGCTGGGTACCTCTGGTTGGTGAGCAGCAGTAGGAGGGGACTCCCAGCCATAGTCTGTGGAGGCAGGCGGTTGAGGGCGGGAGGGAGGAGACGCAGCCTGGGCCGGACTGGTCCTTGGTGAAGGGGAGGAGCCGTTTAATAATGGAGGAAGTGGAGGAAGAGGAGGGCTGTCTGGGCCTTGTAGAGGAGACTGCTGTTGTGATGAAGATGGACTTCCATCTCTTGCATTTCCTCTGGCTGAGGGTCGAGGTCTCAACGTGCCCCACCGACCATTTACGCACGGAGCCTCTTCAACGGCTCCCAAGACAACACCAGCAGCTCCACTCCGAACTGGAGAATGAGAGCGCAAGGAAGGCGGTTCAGGGCCCAGAGGGGCAGGTGTGGCACTTATGGGGGAGGGCCTCGAGTTAAGACTTGGGCTGAGAGGTGCGCGACCAGATGGAGCCTGTGAGAAAACCACCACACAGTGGCCCACCTTGAGGTAAAATAACAAGATGAGGGGAAAAAGACACATAATTAATGAAAAGTGATGAGGATCCAATGACATAATGTTATATCTGGAATCCTGTCACGTCATTTAAATCAAATAACTGGTGCACAAACATATCAATTTAAGATTTGTTTTTTTATTTTTTATTTTATTTCCAGCCAATGAGCACATTCAGCAGAGTGATTCAAATGACAGCAAAGTGCAGCACCTTTGACCGTCTTCAGTAGAAAGTACTCTGTCGACACCTCTCACATCTAAAGACATGTCAGCAACTCACAGAAAAAGATTTTGCAAAGACTTGGGATCTTGCAGGGCAACTAACTGCAAGACTATAACTAAATTCCTTTAGAGATTATTTCCCATAATGTAACTGTAACTTTTGAGCAGAAATACATTCAGTTTATTTGGGGAGGAACTTCAAAGCTGGATTTGGGATAAAAATATAACTATGCCAACCTTGATTTACAACACTACTTTACAACTATAACAGTTTTGGTTTTGTAATGGAGGACAGATAGTTAGAGTTTTATTTCATAACTTGATCATACGTGCCAAGTATTTTTAGTAAATAGTAAAGTAGTAAATTCTGAAGTTTTTCCCAACAATTTTTATCTTTCAAAAGTTATCATTTTTTAGTTTAATAAGTCTTTAAAACATATAAGCTCTAAGAGCGCCCTATACCTTCATGAATGTCTTTCTAGTATTTCACTTAATCAGACTCCTAATAGCAGTAATTATTGAGTTTCATTCTTTAAAAAAAAAATCTTTATTTATTAAAATGTCATTTCTTTTTTTTGGCATTCTTGTCCCTTTCGCTGTTATTGTTTTTTGGGTCAATTTGCCTTGTTGATTACTTCTTGTTGTTGAAGTAGTTGGGCCAGTAAATTTACTTCTAGGCAAAGGTATACAAAATAGCATCATGATGTGTTCAAATGTAATGTCAAGAAAAATGTAGACACTGAATAAATATAGTTGATTGGAGGAGAAATGTGTTTGTTTTTTCAAGCAATTCTAAATGGATATACCAGATCTATTTAACATGTATAATTGTAATTGTAATTGTCTCGTCTTTCCATCAAATAATAGGAAAGTATTTATAGTGGTATGGATAAAGACTCGGATCGTTGAGGAGTCTGATAATGGAATCAATATCATTAAAAATGAACCATCTCCATCTCTAAAAACGAATTTACCGATAACACACAGACGTGCACAATTAGACAGACAGCTAAGACAAACACTTACTCTACAAGCCGGGTGACACCACAGCTCCGGGGCCCCATGGTCCTCGTTTTCCACCTGCAGCTGCTGCCACCTCCACGGAGGTGTTTCCATGTGGAGGAGCCAGGCATCTTTAAGAAGCTTTAACGCACAAGACATCAGGGTAAGTCGACTATCACTTGTAGTAACATTTGCTGGATTACACACACCTCCATACAGATGTGAAAAATGAACAACAACAAATAACTTACTGCATTAGGGCCACCACAACCTCCCAAGATGAGCAAAGTCTGATCATCAATCACAATCTAAAGAAAAAACATGAAAA